CGCGTGCAGTACCTCAATATTGTTGACCCGATCAACGTGCATGATAGTCTAAGCCACGGCCTACCTGACTGCAGCATCGGCAGCAACAGAACTTCGCTATCCAAAATTCGCCCGTTAAAGGGTTAACAATGTTTGATCTCTTGTATAAATACAAGATTCAAAATTGTGATATTTCGCATAGTGTATTAGATTGTATGATCCAGACACCATAAACACATCATCAACGATAAGTATTTTGTTGTGCATACTACCATGTTCGTCTCTACCACGTAAAACCGTTAATCTAACATTCGGGAGCTCAAATAGATCATGTACTGGTCCTTTTCTCTCGTAGACGGTTTCGTTGATGACGAGCTGAAGTTCAATATCCGACCCTTTTTTCAAATAGTTGTAAATGACGGCAATTGTGCTTTCATCTGTCATTAAATAATAGGCCATCTTTATGACCTTTTTAGATAATTTCACTAAACTCAATATAACTGGCAATGGATGATACGGAGCGTTCCTAGGATCGGAAGGATTTGTATAGAGAAAACATGATTCACGGTTGAATATTGATGGTAAATCAACATTTTTCATAAGTTCATCGTCACTAATGCGAATCGGTTCAAATCGAGGTCTTATTTCTTGCGTTTTTGATGATGAGAATAGACAAATATTTGGTGTTCTGAAATAATCAGGGTCTTCGCCAACTATTCCTTCAAGCTCAAGTTCATCGATTAATCGTTTTTGATCTGTGTAATCATTCTTTTCGTACAAATATTCTTTCTTGTCATCAAGGAATCTTCTTCTCGTTTTGGAGCATTAGAGGTTGGTATGAGTTGACCGCCAGATTGAACCGATGATTGCTTGTCTTCAACTTTCTTCAGTTGTGGTTCGTTGTCTAAATTATTTTCATGTTTCAACGTTGTCGCAGAGTTTATGCCACAATTAATAGCAAAATTATGACTGGCAATCATGTTCAACAAATCTGTTCTTTTCACTGATAATTCTTTTATACTCTTATCAAAAAGAAAAGACAAGTCAGATACTCTTATTTTATGTTTATCTCTCGTAATGCTTACTTGTCTGTAGAGCACATCAATGGCTAACATAGTCATATCTGCTAAATACCGTTTTTCCGCGTATGTCACAAATCTATGTTTGAGACCATGTTCATATACTTTCACAAATTCGTCATATCGGATTTTGTTCCATTAACTTATTCATCAAAACAAGTGTCGAAAACAAATCGTTGAAAATATTGTCTGAATTCTGAATGAAAGGAGAAACAGTTGAAACATAAACTATATTAAAATTCCTACTTTCTTCATATAAAGCTGCATGGCATAATCAGTTTTATTTTGAATAGCGAGTAATTGCATAACAGGCAAACCCCAAATCTTTTCACTGGGCATCGACTGTTTTGAATTGTACCTAAACGAGAAAAAGTAATATAACTTAATATCTTTTTGTTTTCTCTTACTTTATTAGTGCTTGAACGACAGTATTAATTTCATCGTCTGTATCAGCTGACATAATCATCTTTCGAAAATCTTCAATAAAAATGGTCGCTTTTTGATTTTCAATTGATTTCATAAAATGTGTTTGATATCTTTCTATAAAAAAAACTCAATAATAATGTGGTGTGTAAGCAATATGAGTGCACTTACTAGTCGATGGTGCAGTATGTTTTCCTCTACTACGCCGTTGATAATTATCATTTTCAACATCGGTACTTTTAAATATCGTTCGTATAGAATTATTGTATAATAAACGTAAAGTTTCGCGTGATCTACCTGAAAAATCAATAGAAAAGTTTGTTCTAACAGGTCAGAAAAGAGGAGAAAACAGCGCACTATGGACAGCCAAAACTGCACTGCCAAAAAGTTTATTGACAGACATCTAAAATAATTTAAAGACAAAACATCGCGCACATGAACGAGAACTTCAGCTAAATTGTAAGTAATTTGATTAACAGTTTAATTTAGATTATTTCCTCCTAGAATAATTCTAACAAGAGACAAACGCCAGTGTTCTATGCAAATGTAGAGCCCCTACATCTTTAACCTATTTTTCCGTAGAATGCTGGTAAAGACTCATTTTCAGTTATCGGTCTCAGGAGACCTAGTAACACCATTAGACAGTCTAAAATACACTTAGTGATGTGCGCAATTGCTTTTCCAACCAGAACCACATAAAAAAAGTTGTTTAAAGTCAAGTTTCGAATAGTTTTAGATACTAATAAAAATACTAGAAAATACAAGAAAAAACCAGGTTTTGGGCTAGACGCTTTAGGCAAAATGCATATGATATTCGGAATCAGCATCGAAAACTACATCGAGTAAAATCGATTAGATTTTTAAAAAAATTTTAATAAAAATTCGACTGAGGGGGAGCACAGGCAAAATTAAATGAGGAAAGCACTTTAGTAGGGGCCAAATTTTGGTGGAAAATATTTTTTGATAGAATCCATGTTACTGGTTGTAGTTTTCGATGCTGATTCCGAATATCATATGCATTTTGCCTTAAAGCTATTTTTTGTTGGTTATGTCCTGAAAACACCTGCCCATTTTGTGACTTTTCTGCTCTGATTCTAGTATTTCTAGTTTTTGCGTAGATTCTGCATGTTTTTTCTTCGTTTTAAAGTCATATTCGGAAAGAGCATGAAAAACTGCATCGAACTATATATACCACTCATCGTATTAAAATTTTATTCTCCTACTATATGAAGTTAAGGGAGCCCAAAACCTGGTTTTTTCTTGTATTTTCTAGTATTTTTATTAGTATCTAAAACTATTCGAAACTTGACTTTAAACAACTTTTTTTATGTGGTTCTGGTTGGAAAAGCAACTGCGCACATCACTAAGTGTATTTTAGACTGTCTAGTGGTGTTACTAGGTCTCCTGAGGCCGATAACTGAAAATGAGTCTTTACCAGCATTCTACGGAAAATCAGGTTTTTATCTATGAAAATTTCGTTCTTTTTGGATTTCAACCTGAAATTCAGAATCAGTATCAAATTTCGCAGCCGATGATGCTAAATTTAAGAAGTTTCGAAAAAAAAATTTTCGATGACCCTGGGGTCCCCTACAGGCTTGAAATGAATCGTGAAAAATGAAAGTCATTTTTTTCTAAAATGTCGCGCCCAGCGCGATTTTGATAACTAAAAGTATTAAAATAAAGAGAGAGAGAACTTTGAAACATTTTTTATGTATGTACACATTCCAGCGCTTTATACAAGTTTTTTTTTACATTTCATAGAAGACGGTCAAGGTATAGGAAGAAAAAGAGGATAAACAACAAATAGAAGTGGCTAGAATTTCTAGACGCCACCTCGAACAGTATAAAAAGACGAATTTGCCTAACAATATTCACTGTTAGATTGAATAAAAGAATTTTGTATCTAAAAGATTGTATTAACCGGACCCTTTGGATCATTGTTACTTATCGTTTTTGCATTTGAAAATAAAACGAAAAATACAAAATAAACATCTTATTTTACTCAGAATTTAATGCTGATTCCGAATATGTAATTCTTTTTGAAAAATATTGGGGTGAAAAAATGACCTTAACGCCACTTGTCCTTTGAAACTAAAACTGAAAGAACAGTATTAAAAATTAGTGCATTTTTCAGGATTTTCAGTTTTAGTTTCAAATTTTAGTTTCTCTAAATTTCTCCGTCCAGCATCAGCTTGAAAACATATATATTCTGACTCAGCTCGTCGAACTCTCTTCAACCATGTATAAATATCGCAAAAAACATTGCGCTCGAATTTTGAATTTCCGACACCTTAAATAAATAAAACGAAGTATTTATATGGTAGCTTGATAAAAAAATGGAACAAATAATCTATGACATACTAAAAACGTTGTTTAAATCGTACATTGAATCATAAATTTTATTCAAGTGAATTGTATGTGTTGTTAGAAAAACAAGCCACTGTAGTTCAGTACTCTTCTAAATGAACAAGAACGATCATTTGTTAAGAAAAGGACTTGGAAAACGAAAAGGAAGAGAAGGCTTAGAGAATACATATTCTGTTATTTTGCGTGTTTTTGTCCGAAGTGTGTCAGCAACTATCAAAAAGCTCACAAATCATCAACTTAAGTCTTTTCGTAGTATGGTTTAACTGAGCCGGATTTAAAAGTTGGTTCTCAAACTTAGACTGAAATCGATGATCTAAGTTTATATTATAATGCCCAGAAGATGAACACTAAAATACGATAACATTTGACCACGATCCCTTAATGAAGCATGTTTCCTTTTGGCTAGAAAAAGCAGCTTCAAAAAAAATTGTTCGAAGTTGATTGATCTAACTGCCCAATAAAAAATATACGAGTGTACGGCACACACTGTACGCGTTTTTCCCTTGACTTTAGTCTAGGATCTTACAAAATGTCTAGGATCTTACAAAATGGTTGTCTGTGTGTTTGTGTGTGTGCGCAAAATACGGAAAAATGGCTGTCAGATATTCTATGGATAAGCGAATCACAAGAGACAACAGTAGAAAATTATTTTTTACATAAGAGAGAAAATAATCAAAGAGATCATCTGAAATATTTACTGATGCAAAGATGTAAACAGCTCAGCAATCGTTTTCTGTGGGCCGGGAGTAGATGTCGCCAGATAGCAGTCAACTATGGCAATACAAAAAAAGTGGTCTACATTGATAGTGTATAGATAATCTATTATAACGCATCGATCAGAAATACTTCCAACCTCCTTGGGGTCTGCAGACGGTGTGCAGAAAACCTTTTAAGTTTATATTACATTAGATGGTTTTTTGGCGGAATCACAGAAGTTGATAGCGTTTCTGATCTATACTGGATGCGAACGCCGACAGAAGGGAAGCGTGAGCATTTTGAATTCAGAAATAGTTTTAGACCTTTTGAGATTTTTGCTCTATTTATATTAGTTTACGAACCTTACACATGAAAACAGAAAAAAATCCAGAAGATGTCTTAGGTAGGTTTCCAGCGAGCGCCGACCGAAGGGAGGCGTGAGCATTGTTTTTAATTCAGAATTATGTTTAGACCCCTAGAGATTCTTGATTTATATATTAATATCAGACTACGAACCTCATACATAAAAAATGAACAAAACTCCAGAAGATGCCTTAGTTAGGCCCCCAGCGAGCGCCGAACGAAGGGAGGCATGAGCATTGTGTTCGATTTAAAAGTCACCAAAGGACGTTCGCTTGCGCAGATCCAACTTAATAATGTCAAGGGACCGAGCGTTACCTTGTATTGCAATACATAGCAATAGCAGAAAAACTCACTACATTTGCAAAGACAATATAATTGGTTGTTTCTGCCATTCATGACTATACGGAGACTTGATTAAAGACTAATTCTCTTGTGACAAAAACAAAGAGCACGGCAGATTGATAATAACTTTTTCTATTGTACAGTTTTAGAATATTTTCGGATGCTTTAAAACGATTTCTAAATGAGTGAAACTACTCATTTTACAAATTCATCGTTTTTATTTATTGTTTCAATGAGATGCATTTACTCAAAGCTCCATTAGAGTTTTGTGTAAAGTGATATAGATGATGACCTTAATTTACGGAAGAAATTTTTATGAAATTTCTCTAACTATTTATATTAGATTTCAATAACTCATTTGCATATGTTCGATATGCTAAGATCACAAAATTTTATCTCACTTAAACTATGGCAAGAATAAGTTAAACAAAGTGAAGCCAGAGTTCCGTTCCGATATTCTAAAAAATTTTTTTGTAAAGTTTTACTGTTCTAAAACTAAAGAATATTTTCTGCCTTGCAACCGACGCCTATTTATTTTTTCTCTCAACGTATTATTGAACCATTGGCACAAAAAGAAAAATGTAGAAAGTTCAGAAAAAAAGATACACTTTTTAAATAAATTGTTTACGCATATTATAGAAAACAAAAAAATATAAACAAATAAGAAAATGAAGTAGAGTTACGAACAAAAAACATGAACAATACATGCAAGATGCAACAGCCGAAGATTCGCATTCATGTTGTCTATTTTAACAGCTGATTTTCACGGAGATATTCATTCAGAGCTGCCATAGTTTGAAGACTAGAATCAGCAGAAAAAATCTCACTTCTCGTTGAAAATTTTTTGAATACGAAGAAAAAATATCTCCAATGATGAGGTAGTTTCGTAAAACTTTTGATACTATGCATTTGCACGGCGACATACAAATCAGAAACAAAGGCACAAACAAAATCAGAAAGCGACAAAGACAAAAACTATGCATTTCTCTTTACATATTTATTTCGACAACGGAATCTTGCATAGATATCACCTGTGATGATGATGAGAGAAAAGGGTGAAACTTCAATAAAAAAAGCATTTTACTACTGAATATGAACAGAATATGAAGATTTTGCTAACAAATAGAAAATTAACACATAAACTCTCATCATAAACTCTCACTGTTAAAAAAAAATATGACAGCAACAGCAGCGAAACGTAAGATAGTAATTCGGTCTTTTGTATCTGTTACTGTGGTTAAGCACGAGACTGTAAAAATTTATTCATTTTCTCGCATGTTGGTGTTGGTTCATGAGACGCTTGGTGAAGCAATTCTTGATCGCCGAGCATTCTCGCACGCCATATCATTGACTCACCTGAAAGAAGATAAAAGAAAAATTATGCATACTGTTATATATCTTAAGAAATACGTACGATACTGTTGTTCTCTATAGCACTGATGCTTTAGTTCTGAAATATATTCTTCTAAAACAGCTGATTCAAGTTTATTGAGTTCATGTGTTGTTTTTGGTATTTTAAAATCTTGTTTAACATAATATTGAATATTTTGTATACGTGTTGTTCGCACATTGACATATTTACTGAAACAAATAATAATATCAATGAGAAATAATTATTATTTTTATCAATACCTACCCAGTTCTGTGTAACATAAATTGTGGATCCGAAACAAATAATGTACCGAGAATTGATATAAGAAATAAAAATAAATACGGTAGGATTTGTGTGATTGTGTGTGATGCCTAAATATAGATGAATAACAGACTAATGGAAACAGGAACAGGAATAACAAGTTGCAGCACATACCTGTTGCGGTGTTGCTGACGATGAATGTGTGGAAAAGTGAAACGGGCTTTGTTGACGTCTTCGATACACACGATTAGTTGGTCCTTAAAAAAATGTAGTTCATCAGTTCAATGTACTTTGAACAAAGACGATAATAAAACAATAGAATAGACGATCACAGTGACGCTTCAATTTTTCATTACTCAGCAAAAATCATCCTAATTTCTCTAATTTATCTGAAAAGTTCTATCATACTATTCCATGTTTTTTTTAGTAGCATGCTTTTATTGAATAGATAGTTTGAGAAGATGTCGTATTTTATACCTGTATAACCAAAAAATAGATTAAATATTTCTTCAGCAGAGAAATTATCATCATCCTCATAGTAATATGTTTGCTGTGATCGACCGTTGTGTCTCTGATAAGAGCTTGACGGTGGCTCCATTGATCCGTATAAATCATACTGTTCGCGCTTTTTGGAATCACTTAAAACTGTAAATGCTTTTCCAATTGCTAAAAATAAAAACAAAATTTGAACATATTATAAAAATTAATTGATTCAGTAAGTACCTTTGAATGCGTCTGTAGCGCCGGGTGCCTTGTTCTTATCTGGATGAAACTAACAAGGAAAGAAACAATTTTCTACCTATTGAACACATATTTATTCTTAAACTTACTTGTAACGCTAGTTTTCGATACGCTTTTTTTAAATCAACCTCTGTGGCAGATTTTGGAACACCCAGTATTTCATAAAAATCTTTGCATGATTTAATTCTAAAACAAAACATATGAAATAAACAAAATGTCTCATTGTAATATGAGAGACTAGTGTACTTTCTAACAGCTTCTACTTCTTCGGATGTATAATCATTTGATGTTGTTGAATGGGTATTTGTAGTGTGAGCATTCGTATGACTTTTAGTTGATGATGTTCTTTGTCTTGTTGTTGTATTGCTACTATGACCATTTGTTTGAGGTTGGTCGGTGTCATTATTCGAAAATGATGATGAATTTGTATACATTAGTCTTTCAAGGAGATCTAAAGTGTTCGAAAAAGTTTACTTAGTAAATAGAATAAAGCAATCAAATTCAACGTATTTGATACCTACCTTTTGCTGTTTGCGTTGGGTAGAGATCAACGGATTTTGAAAGAAATCTTATGGCTCGGTCGTGATCTCCGATTAAAATGGCTTTCTGAGCTAACTCAATACATCTCAAACTTTCGGCTTTGTTCGCTTCCATGACATATGTTCCAATACTAATCAGAAGCCATCATATTTTAACTAATGTTTTTAAATTATATAATCAAGGAAATTTTGAAACTGGCTTCACAAAAAGTACCGACTTTTTATCGTAACCAATATCATCTCACCAGGCAGAAGAGAGAGATAATATAAAACAGAACTATAAAGTTGAGAGAAAAATACAATCATCATATGCCATCATCCACATCTTATTTCTTTAGAGTAAAACAGGGTTATGATTAATCTATCAATCACTTTCACGTTGTTAAGATGGTGCCACCATATTGACAAATTTATCGTGAGATACTCTCCGTATTTGTGGCTAGGATAGACAGTAGCAACCTATGTCGTCAAAATTGCGAAGAAATGGCAGATTAAGCGTTCTTCTCTATTTTGGCGACTTGAGAAACGTTATACGTTTGCTGAGCGTGCTGTTCTTGTCTCAGTCAGCGATAAACACTAATTGACTATCAATTAGATAAGATCTATTAATTATTGAAAATTTGAGGCAGCACTTGTAAAGGACGTCTGGAAAAGAGCGGTTTTGGACTCTAAACTCCCCTTTCTGAGTTAGTCCGCTTTTGTTCGACTTCTCCATGCCTCACGGTCGTCATCTATTTGTCAAGAAACAAAATTGCAAGTAACTTAACTAACGATTATCATACAGACCAATATAAAATGCTGAATAAACCATGTTGAATTATAACATTATTGAATAACATGTAGATATGCAGATATAGCAACGTTGTTGGATGTTCACAGTATATTAGCAGCATGTCTTGTGACATTAGTACTAGTATTGTAACAATACTGCGGCGCAAGGTCAGTTTTTCAGGGGAAGCAATAAACTTTAAAATGAAATTACAATTCATGAAACTGGACCAGTCTTCCTATTTTAACTGCAGACGTATATGTAGGTTGATTTAGATAGTTTTATTCTAGCAAATATACTGAAAAGCGCCAAAATTTTGAGGAAGCAATAAAAGTTTATTGCTTCCCCCAAGTTTTCTTAGGGGAAGTAATTGGTAACCCGTTGCTTGCTGGTGCGCCGCCACTGGTATTGTTAATTATTATTTTTAAACACATTTTTCAAAACTGTAAGTTGCATTATCAGCCTAAGCTGAGTTCTTCAGGAATGTATTGCACCATTCCACGTAACTGTGCTGCCGGAACGTGAGACTGTTACCGTTTTTGCTTTTATTATTTATTTGATGCGAACATTGTAAAAAGTTGAGAAGCATCTTGTTTTCTAACTGAAACTGTATTCTTTACAATCCGCTCTGGGATTAATTTGAATCACTCAACTTTCTTATTATCAAGATTTCGTTGACAGAATGTAACACACACGTGGGAAAACGCTTTTTTTTTGAGTAAATGCTTGTGTAAAATCTATGAATATTTTTGGTGGATCATAACAAGATATCATATATAAAGGGAACTCTAATTTTGGTTTAATTTTTATTTAATATTGAAAAACCAACACTACAGTTGTGTTAATTACATTAAAATTTCAAAAACAAAACTAAAAATTAATTGTTATTCAAAATATTATTGCAGATCAATAAATATATATGCAACTATTTTATTCAAACAACAAAATAGAAACAAAATCCCAAAAATAAAAACGACTTCTTTTGCATCGGAATATGCTAAAGTATCACAGTCGTTTAAAAATATTAATTGATTTATAGAAAATATGTGTGAGATTCATTAATTTATACTGTTTCAAGTAACCATTCAGATTCCTCCCAAATTTGTAACTTTTGGTAATAGTGGTGATTGTTTTGAATATTTTAAAAACAATGAAACTTGAATAATTCCAAGAATAGCACCAAGAAAATTTGGCACCTGAGTAAAACACAAAAATAATTTTAATTATATGTTGCGTTGTCTATACTAGTGTATCTACCTGTACAAATCGATCATCGATTAATAAACCGTATAAAAACCATTCAGTTGCAACAACAAAATTAGCAAAACAAAGTGGAAATGATAACGAGTCTGTACTTTGTTTTTGAACTACTTCTTTCTAAAATATCACGAAATAAAAGCATAAAAGACAATCAGATCAAGCTATATTTTTATTCGTCACGAGCAGAGTATTCGCCGCATCTTCTATTTAATTTTGAGCGATAGATTTGATGTTGTTTAACTATTGATAGACTTTTATTTCCTTTGCTATTTATTGAGTATCATACAAAAAAGATACTGTATCTCAAAGCATTAACTGCTCGTGTTCTTTTATTCTTAAAAATGCCAGAGCAATAGGTGCGTACAAATGTGCTCTTCTTTCTCTTGCGACGTGATAAGTTATATGTGGTACCGAAAAGTAGCCATGGATACCGTTCATTTAGTAAAGTATTTATCGTTTATATTAGTATCGTTTGAAACTATATACATTGGATTTAACTTTTCTCAAAATGGCGATTATAACACGAAATGTTCTATTCTTTTCACTATTAACCATCATCATTAGTTATCTTGAATTAGTATGGAAAAATTTACAAAAACCTAGTGTTATCTTAACAGTTCAACGTTGCTTTGATAAAAATATCGTTCTAAAATCCTCGAACAATTTTTCATCCTATATCATTGATAAAACACAATACTATTATAATCAATTAATAAAATTACTATCTTATTATAGATTGTCAAAATTCTTAACATTCTATAATGATCATCACACCCATCATCGACAATGCTCATCATATGAAATAGGACTTAATATGGCAACAATATTTTTTATTTTAAAATTAATATGTGCTTTATATTTCATCGTCTATTTAGCAGATATCACACGATCAACTGTCTCATTTTTCAAACGAAAACTTGTACAAAAACAACATTTAAAGAATGCCGGTGAATACAATATTATTCTACCAGTAGCAACAACAACTAAATATGTCAAAAATCAATTTTTATCAGCTAAATATTGAATGACAAAATAAATAAATGTATTACTTACCAATGATGCCAACGGTGAACCAAACATAATAACTGTGCAAACACAACAAATAATACCCGTACGAAATACGACTGACAGTTTATCCGTTGAGTTATACTGTAAATAACAGACGACGCATAGTAAAAATAAAACGGCGCTGCTAATCATACGAATATAAGTCGTCTAAACGTACATATATACATACATATATTTATTTAATCACTATCGATTTTGAAAAACTTTAGAAAACATAGTTGAGACTAGAAACAGTCAAGAGACTTGGATTAGTAAAATATAACAGTGTAACTATGTGCAACAAATGGACAGAGAGAGAGCAGGTAGTGGAAATGTCATTTCATGGTAATTTAACAAGAATGTTCGCTAAGTGAAATAAGCATCCTTCTTACACGATCTTGCGCATAGCGAAGATAAAATAAAGCATAGAACATTTGAAGAAAAGCGCCAATAAGGTTTACTAATAATATTGCCGAATTATCTGATGAATAACCGTACAACACCCATAATGTACAACTTAAATAAAAAGAAAACAAAAAATTGAACACATAACACATTCATAACACTTACTTGACAAATGTAGCAATGAATGGAAAGCCAGAAATATCTCCAGTTGCATTCATACGATAAATTCTCTTACATATTTGACTAAAAACATAGAGAAACCAATGTTGTTTGAATTCAATGATCCATTAATAAATTTCACGTACGTTCCAGTCAGAAATAAAGCAATTGTACAAATCGTGCAAATATTTTCAAATAATGGTGTCAGCGATGTCGATGAGTCTGTCATTTCTAACGATTCTTATAAAGGCATCCTATAAAGATGATAATAGGTATCTGTTAATAGATAGTGATAACAAACGATCAATTCGGAAATAGAGTCAAAACAAGCAAGCGAAAAAGATATCATTGTGATGCTGCCAAGGAGAGATTCTTTTAGGATAAAAAACAACTGCATGCGCAGCTTCTGTATTATTTATAAATGGATTTAGAGTAGCGTTGATTCTTAGCGTCAGATCTCTACTTATTCTATGCAATGGATACGTGTTTGCTCAGAAAAGTAAGAAAAATACTGAGGTACATAGAGCGTAGCAGAGTTCTTTCAAATGTAACTCAAGCTGAATCCAGATCGTGCGTAAATCACGTGAAGATAGTATACGCATGACAACAAACAAAACTAATGAGACTTGTGACTTTCCCTAATATACTTAAGGAACGCTTCGTTCAGACGCCGAGTTTAAATTCTTAGTTCCAATACTCTCTTAAAAGATCTATTCATTTCTTATTTTTTAAGCCTTTAAACTTAGCTGAAGGCTTTATTTTTAAGTTGAATAAAGAGTTGTCAAGAGATCAGAAATACGAACTGCCTCATTCCAAGACCACTTCAAAGGACCTAACTTTAGACTAACATAAACTGGGTTACATTAACTTTAAGTACAGAGCAATGTAGACACACTAGTGTTCTGCAATGATGGCATGAACCAATAACATATAGAAAAATTTCACTTCAACTGCAAACATTCTTATTAAACTGAATTTAAACTGCAGATTCTACCCAAATTCGAACAATATAACGCCTAGCATTCTTGAACCATCAAGTATTACTTTTCAACATCAGCCTAAGCCACCTGAATATTAAAAGTTTTATTTTCTAAGATGCAGATGTTTTATACAATATATTACAGTCAGCAAAACTCTGTCTAGATTATTAAACATAATTTGAAACAAGCACGAACTACAACAGAAAAACAAGGACAACAACTCTTATAGACAAACACAAAATTGAAAAGGCGTACATCTTTTTCTGTTTTCTAAAAAAATGAATTCTATTGAATTCTATTCTTTCAAAAGTGAAAAAGTTAGATGCATGAAGTATTGTGCCGAATTAGAAAGAGGAAAAGTGAAATGTACAATGAATAATGAATGGACATACAACTTTATTTTTTAATCCTGACTATTTTTAGATAAGTAGACATATAACACATACAATTAGAGAAGAGAGATAGACAAAGAATAAACAATGTTCTGCTTGTTCTAAGTATATTCCAAAATATGGAAACAATTAATAATTTTAATGTTGTTATTAATGCTTTTTTGAATATGCTCAAACACCAACTTTCAATTCGCCACCAAACGTATTCTCTCCACCATATGCAATGTATAAAAATCCGTCTTCATCTTTGTGATCGGCATATATTTGACCCATTGTCGAACTGAAACAAATACAAGCGTCATAAAATTAGTCATTAACATTATAAATAAAAGTCCGCTTTTGAAAAATATACCTGGACTGCGGAATTGTTTTATCGACAAATAAAAATATTGCTTTTTCTGGTGCTAGTTGTATACGTTTTCGTATTATCCACATAAACTGAGCCATTGTTATGTCATTTGGTACCAAAAATTTTCGTTTGTCTATTTCAGGTATTTGTGACTTAGGAACACGTTCAACGACCACCTAGAAGAAAAAAAGTTGAAATAGAATACGAACAACTTTTCTTAATTTCAACAACTCACCGGTATACGTTCTGGATATTTTGCCCGAATTTTTTCGGCTTCTTGACGACGTTGTTCTAGCAGGAGAAACAAACAAATTCAAAATGTGAACGCTCTCTTATTTTACTGAACGTACCAGCTGGCGTTTCTTCTTTGAATCGAAATTTCATGTTTGCTATTGTTAAAAAGTAAAAGAATTAAGTAATGAGAACAGGTTTCTATAAACGTGAGAAATCTAGAAAAATAATTTTACTTAAATAAGTATACAAATAACTCTAATGCATGCAGTATTAAACTGTCTGAAAATTTTCAAAGAATTACTAATACTGACACGTGCACAATAGGTAAATATATTGCGAGAAGAAATGACAAATGTATTATTCGCCGAATTACACAGATTGCAACACCTACAATGACTATTTCTATTTCTTCCTGCATTTTCTATGAGGCTGAATGTATTTTGTACGTAAATAGGGTGATTATAGAAAAAGAATAGAAATAATGGATGTCTATCATGTGATGGAAGAAAGAAACTAGAATGTTGACCAAACAGCTGATAGAAAGAGATGAGTCATATACAGTTTAAAACTAGTTATGCAGTCTAAAAAATGATACTTCGAAAACATTAAATCCAGATTAAAAGTGCATATAGAATCTGTTTTTAGATGAAAAAAAATCATCTTACGAAGAATTGACGACCAAGTGTAATACCTTCCGGGTAAGTATCTGAAATATCCCATCATTATAGTAACGTGCGCGACTTTACTTCAAACAAGTCTAGTTTTAAAGAGCTCATCAATTTATGTAAGGAAACGTCTTTTTTGGCTGCATAGCTTATGCAGAAATCGAGAAAAATGGCTTTTACTCTCTCGGCAAAATTATTAGATTCGACGCCACTCTCAATGTGAGTTAATGAGTACCGCGACCAATTTTACGACGTCTTCTCCCTTTTTTCAGCAAAGTCCTTAAGATTCTTATTAAAGAGTGAGGCAAGAACTGTATCGTCTAAAATCTTGAAGAATGTCCCATGTAAGGTTTCTGAGATCTTGAACTTTTCCCCCTCTTATGACTACAGTAGAAAGGTGTTACGTCAGAAAAAAAGAACAATGGCCATTTAGCCATTTTTAAAAGTTCAATATCTCAGGAACCTTACATGGGACATCTTCAAAGTTTTAGAGGATACAGTTTTTGCCTCATTCTTTAATAGGAATCTTAAGAGCTTTGCTGAAAAAAGGAGGAAGACGTAGTAAAATTGGTCGCGATACTCATTAACTCACATTGAGAGTGGCGTCGAATCTAATAATTTTGCCGAGAGAGTAAAAGCCATTTTTCTCGATTTGTGCATGAACTATGCAGCCAAAAAAGACGTTTCCTTACATAACTTGAAGAGCTCTTTAAAACTAGACTTGTTTTAAGTAAAGTCGCGCACGTTACTGTAATGATGGGATATTTCAGATAGACTTACCCAACCGTATAAGTAGGTCGGGATAAGTTAAAATGAAAATAATGTCGGCAGTATCTGCTATGGGTACGCCTATTAACGCTAATATAAAATCGTTCTAAAAAAATATTTGAAAAGCTTAAAAAATGTAGACTTCAAAATTCACGTTTAGATTTGAAAAAAGGTTTTTCTTAATAAAGAAATATGAGTTTTAGTTTGTACTAAGACTTTCGCGCCCTAGGTTTCTTATTATATTAATTACCAACCACTAAATTAATAGAATCAATGTCATTATATACATGATGGTAAATTGAAAAAGACAAAGGTTATTTAAAAATTGAATATGAAAAAAATTAGAGCTCATTTTAATTAATTCTGAAGTTTTCTATATAGAACATTTAGAGTAACACAGTAATTACAAAAGGTCTCACTAGAAGAGAATCCCGAGTGACTATTTACCAGAAAATGTGGTCGTATATTTTAGTGTATATATCAATCAAATTTCTTCCGTTTATACATAACATCCGTTCGTATTGCATACTTTCTTCCTGATTTAAGAGCACTACCCTCGTGCAATAATTGGTGTTCAAAAACTAAAACCATTCCAGTTTGTGGTACACACGGAAAAGATCTGTTGGCAGTATATGGATCTAAAAATGTGGTTTCGCCGCCGGAGAAGTCTTCATTCAAATAAAGTTGAATAGTAATAAAACTTTGTTCTTCTGTTCCATCTGTTCTACGAAATTCACCATCCATATGTGCTTCAAATTTTTGACCTGGATCATATCTTAGAAATCTTAGTCGCTCATTTAGTCCAACAACTTCATATTGTATTTTCCATTCTTTTGGAATATAAGATTTAATTCTTCGATATATTTCATTGGCTAAATTAACATCGTCAATAACACAACGGTCATTATTACGAAAGTTAGACATAAGCATTTCTTGACCACCTCCAATGTTCACTAATGCCGGTTTATATCCTCGGCCTTCAGACATATGAATTAATTGCTGACATTCTGCTTTCGTAAACACATTCAGTAATACAAATGCCAATTTATTCTTATCTGTCGCACTGGGAAGAGGTATACGTTGTTTTACGATATCATTTTGTACAGCTGACATTTTAAATTATATTTATGAAGCGTAGAAAAATAGTTGAATATATTCCAGTTTACAAAATAATTGAACAAGAAGAACTAATGTTTGCGACAGAAGAAAATATTTCAAACATACACAACTGACTAATTTTATATTGTTATGGTGCAATCTAAGTCACATTTTTTCTTTTCTTTTAAAGTAACTCACAACTGTATTATTTAACTATATTATTTTCTTGCTCAAATCGAAACATGTTTCTACTGAAATTGCAGTCATTGCTTGCACACTAATGATAAAAGAGCAAATAATTGATGAACAAAACGATTTGTATACAAAAGTTTGACATAAAACTTCTGGGAAGAGGATGAAGACAGTGTGAGAGTAAGTCAGAAAACTAGTTTCACTTGGAAGGTAGGCACATGTTGTAGTACAAAAGCTTAGTGAGACTGACTACTTTCGAGAAAGGTAAAGTGGAAAAGGTTATCCTCAATATATTCACAAATAATGCCAATTAACTTGAGAAATCAAACATTTTATAAATTTATAAACATACAGATTGCGAAAAAATAATGTGTTATTTCAAAAGCTCGCATTTGCGTTCCATCTGATCTCGCTGTTGCTCTTTAAAATTTTTTTGAGGTTTATAAGGTGCAGCTAATGAATACAGTGGAATTTATTTTTGACTTTATTATACATATTCAGATTCAGCTTAACGAGCTGATTACGAATAACACCGTCCGAGTCTCCAAAAGACATTTCTTCATGGAGAAAAACTCAAATTACTGAGAGGACCTCACAAATACAAAAAACCGTCCTCTATGATGAAATTGACTTTTTGAGCTTGTATTGTGAGATGGAAGGTTCGAACTATATTTTTCTGAATCAGCATCGAAAACTGATTTAGAAAAAGCTTTTTAGTACATTTTAGAGGTATACCTCTAAAATGTACTAAAAAGCTTTTTCTACATCAGTTTTCGATGCTGATTCAGAAAAATATAGTTCGCACCTTCCATCTCACAATACAAGCTCAAAAAGTCAATTTCATCAT